TAGAAGGTCTTTGCTTCAGAATTTTCTACAAATCCAGCATCTTAATTTTCATTTAGGCAGCAAAATGGAGAGAAAAAGAGAGAAAGAAAATTACCTCAAATTATGTTACAAATTCAAACCTGAACTTGAATTTGCCATTTTCTGTCTAAATGTCTGATCTCCAGTATCTGCATCCATTTTCTCCTATATCTATATATTTTGCTGCATGAATTTAATTTTTGCAATCTTCCTTTTGCAAAACATTTTTCTCACCCAATGAAAAAATACATGATTTCACAGTGGGGGAAAAGCTTATGAGGCACTGCTGGAAAATATTAGTAATTGCTTACTAAGTATTCTTTGTAGCCTAATTGTAGGTATGTACAGAAGCAGTGCCGAAGTACACTTGTTCTCAGTATCAGTGGAGAGAAATACTAGCACTACAAGATTTAGTCAGGGCCTTCCTTCTCTCTAAAAATTAAGTCATGATCAAATTGATTTTATGCAACCTTGAAAGGGATATATTATGATTCAGTGCCTTAGATTTTTTTACTGTTGCCAACTCAGATAATCTATCAAGCATCTTAAGAGTTTGCTTTAATCTCAAAACCCCATGTTTGGGAACAAATTATTGCATAATCAATACATTTCATTTTAAAGCCCTTCTCTCTATCCTGCCCATCATACACATCTCTAGGTCTTATTCTTGCAGAAAAAGAGATTGAATGTGACCTGACAGGACCCCAGAGAGGTCTACAAATCAAAAGCACATCAGAAAGAAGCCACACTGCAGGGCAGCATTTCTTTTGTTGTGTGTGTGTGTTTTGGTGGTTGGTTTTTGTGTTTTCTTGTTAAAAGTTATTACAACTTCTTGTTGCATAAGCACTGCAATCCCTCCAAAAGACCAAGTGTCAAGAAATTCCTGCCTGCTCAGAATAGCTGCTTTTTTCTTCTGGTGAGCCAAAACTGGGAGCATGAAGTACATTTAAGCTTACAGTAGCAGACTCATGAGTATGTTTAGTCCACTTCTGATGGAAGTTTAGTTTTTCCACTAAAGAAATTAAAATATGTTACTGCGCAACAAAGACCTGAAAGCCAACATTCCTATGTCTACCAGCGCAATAGGAACATTAGCAACAGAAGGGTTGGGTGCAATTCCTCCCCTTCATCACCCTCCACAAACTTGAAAACTGAGAACTTCTCAGACCACAAGATCTCAAGACCGCGGTCTGTCCTACTCACTCACCCACAACCACAGATCCACAAGTGCACATCAAATATCATTAAGCTACTACAGACGGTCTGTCCTACTCACCCACAACCACAGATCCACAACTACACATCAAATATCATTAAGCTACTACAGCACAAGAATTATAAGTCAGTATTAGGGAGAAATGTTCTTCCAAGCCTTTGATGTTTAATTTATTTTTAAAAAGTAGATGCTGGTATAGTTTCACTAGTCCTAGAATTAGAAAAGACTTCTTATGCTGTTAAATATTTTATGTTTAAATAAGAGCAACATGTCTACTATTATCTCTAGTAACAGATAACACCTTTACCAGGGTAAGCAGGTACAATAAGATATAAGAAATAAGGTGAAATAGACACCCTTACTTTCTGAAGTTATCCTTCTCACTCATTCTGGCATTAATTCTAAAAAACAATCAAGTTCCTCTGATGTCATTTGTTGTCAAGTGCAAATACATACTTAGTATTTCTGACATAACAAACCATAGTAACCTAGGTTGTATACCACGTCTGCTACCTTTTCTACAGGAAAAAAAGGCATTTTCAGATCTTCCCTTATTTATCAGTTTTGATTAACACCTTGTCCATTTTCGCAACAATTTCATCTGTCATTCTCTTCTTTAAATCCTTTCATTAGATTCCACTTCTGTATCACACACAGTTGAACTTTCTTGTTCTTGCCTTTGAGACAATTATATGTCCCCTAGTTATGCCCTTTTGAAAACCTCTGTCCCACCTGTCAATGAAGTCAAAGTCAGCTTTAGTTTCTTTTCCCCGGAGCTTCTGCTTTTCCTGCTTATAGACTGAATGGCTTTGAGACAAATTAAACAGAGATCCTGCTACATGATCCCTTTATATCCCTACCTGTCCAAGGGTAATCAACCAGCTGACCAAAGTGATTGTGTTCTCCTTAACAATAAGGCTTACACTTCCAAGTAGCATCCTCCCTCATCTCTTGTCTTTAAACTTGAGAGTGTTTCACATATTTGAACAACTAATTTCAGCTTATTCTGAACTAGAACATTTTGCCTTTAACAGATTCTATATAGCCTAGATGATTCCTCTTAAATATATAATCTGCATTTGAGCAAGACAAGAACTCTTGCAGTTACTCCCAGATCAGCATCTCAGAAGCATGGCACAAACAAGCTTAAGTATTACTTTAGCCCACTTCATGATTTTTCTCCTCCTTCAAGCTGCAATAAGGGGCTTAAACAATAACTTTCATATGGCAAGGCTTTTAAAAGTACTTTTAAAGGTATTTAAAATGCATACAGTATATTCAAAAACATATTTGGAATTAGAAAAAAATATGCAGCCATCTTATTTGGTACATTTACCCACCTTCTTCCATCTTTCTTATCTTTTGAGGGTCAGTCTAAAATTGGGATAAATCACTGACAACCACTGTACCTTTTTATTCCAGAGATTCCTTTCATGTTTTCAAAGCTGCAAAAACATGACCAGATCTGGCCACACAAAGTCTGCAAACCGCAGTTCACTGCAAGATCTATTACTGATGTTTTTAAAGACAAATATCTTAACTTCCAAATTCCCTTAAATAGTTCATGGAAATGATTTCTAGGAAACATTAATCCTTACTGCTTCTTCTGTATGAAAAACCTCTGAGAAATACCATCCTGTGCTTACAGCTTCTATATTCTTCCCCTCTTCAAAAAAGCTAGGTAGTTTTAGTTCTCATAAATCTAGATGTCATATATTTAGGCAAGTACTTGTTTTCCTGTCAGATTGATTGTTTCTACCTGATTTTTCAGTGACACACTAAATACAAAGTATCAGTCATTCCTATTGCAAGTTGCTAATGCCAGTTAACTATGTTGAAAGAAATAATACTTCCCCTGACTATCCCGTGCCACATACCAATTCTTCTCTTTCAGAAGGAATTCAGATGCCCAGTAATTTAAGATTTGATATAGCACAAAGTACGCTTTCTCAATAAAAGGCCATTTAGAAATATGTATCTTCCAGCAACAAAACAGATAATATGAACAGATTCTTTTCTCAGTTTGTTTAGAAGATACTGTATGCATACAGCCTGATGTACTCTATGAATACTCTACAGATACATGATATTTTTTCAAGTAAATTTATACATGGGCCTAGAATACTCTCAACCACCAAAGTTATAGTAATTAATATTACTAACAGGGATCATACATTAAATTTTCCTGGTTTCAGTATTATGGAGAGAGGCACATCCAATAGCTTATTGAGTTCCTTTACCACACTATCTTGAGATTTTCATATATATTTATATATATAAAAGAGCCTTTATACAGATAATCTGCTAATGCACAAAATAGATTAATATTTGCAAGTCTTGCACAAATGCATAAAAAAATTTGGAAATTTTGATAGATGATAATAGAAATGTCAAGTTAGAAGATGCACACTTAAAATATAAAGAATGCGTTCCCCTACCACTTTGTGATAGGTACTTTTTCTCATATTCAGAGGCAACGTTTGGAAGAAAGGTTTGGACTGCAAAGAAAACAGACCAAGATAGTCATACATGAAACTGTTACTTGTTTTTACTAATTCTTCTGTCTATCACGTAACCAAACATTTACAAGTTTTTATCACCTGCCTGTATTTTATCTATCAAGATCACGAATGAAAAATATAAATTGCAGCTAGCTAATCAGAATTTTTTAAAATCTAAATACAGACCTTCTCCTGAACTTGAGCCTGAGGGTTGAGCTTTTAAATTAACCTGAAAGAATCAAAAAAAGCATACAATGGAAAAGAAAATACTGTGCTTCTGTCTCTCACACTTGGTTATGGAATGTAAGGTCATATTTAGAAACACACTTGTTGCAAAAGGTGGATTTACTGCCTTTATATTATATTATATTATACAGGTGCCTCACTCCAGCCATCCCAAGTTTCTGGTCTGAATTCTCAACTATATCTGAACTCAGACATAACATTAAGTGTGCTTAGCTTTAAAAATTTATAAGATTGAAAAGTATTGCTCTGTAGTGATCCAGCAACAAATATTGTTATGCTGTCTAAAAACAAAATTGGATTTTAAGCAAAGTTAGAAAAACCTTTTGATAATTGCATGTGTTTGCCCTATTGATAAACAAACTATTTATGATATTTTAGTTTTACTGAAGCAATCTTAGCTATATATATATATGTTCATGAGCCACCACACTTTCTTTTTCCAATTTTCACAAAGCAATTGAGACAGAGACGTATACATGACAAGTTTTCTTAAATTCTAGGAATCACAAAGCAAATATTGCTGCTACATATCTTTATTTTCTTTTAACAAAATACACAAAGGCACAAAATTCACTTATCTTGTCATTATTGTACAGGTATAAATAGTGCTTTGTATTCAAGTACAATCAAGTGCAGAAACTTCCTATTTTAATGTAAACACAAAAACACTTTTGTATGTATGTGCCTCTGGTCCATCTGCAATGCAAACACCACCAAAGGAAATACCATTTATCCGAGTGCCATTTAACTGAATTCCATCAAGAAATTAGACAATGAATATTGACATTACTGCAATGACACTTTACATATGCTTAAGTCAAATGTTAGATGACACTTCTGCTTGTAAACATCCGTGTATTTAAAGTGTAGTCAATCCATTTC